GGGAAAGAAACGGTAGAGACTTGAACCGTTGCCAGCAAAATCTGCCTGGCTGCAGGGCGTGCCTGACGGAGCTAAACATTGACACTAATTATTCAATTACCGTGGAATGTGCTTAGCCCTCCGCTAGGAGTGACTCGGGTTCCCCCTCTTGGCTCACCGCGCAGACAGCTGTGGTTCCGTCGACATCTGCCTGGGGCAACGGAGGCAGAGGAACCTCTGGGGATCTCTTACAATTGCCCCCCCCCGGTGGCCTTTTCGTTTATAAATGGGGAGGGGGGGAAGGTGTCCGAAGGGGCTATCAAAGTGATGGCTAAGATTTTGGTCGTCGCGGGCTGAAATGCAATGAGCGCACAACACCACCACCCCGCGTATCCGACTCCCCTGTACATGCACATGTGACCCCCCCATACTCCCCCTCCCACTGTGCATGTGCGTGCAACCCCCCACACCGCTAGTAGGCCTCTCTACAGCCCCCTCTGACCAAAAACAAGCTGTGGGGGGGACGGGGACGCTGCTCCCCTGCATTCTCTCCCTGCCCCCCATGGACAACCCATAGGTTCGCCCTCATGGGACTCTCAGAATCCAGGAGTTACCTGGACTGTATGATTAGCAATTTCTCAAGTGAGAAAGATGGCAGGAACTATCCTGAGAAGGCGAAGAAGGAACAGGGATTCCCCCCCCCCCCATGTCTTGTAGTGGACACGAAACTTCCTGGCTAATGAAATGTAGGTGTTCAGATGACATTTGCACCCAAGATAGCAACAGCAGTAGCCCTTAGACTTATATACCGCTTCACTGTGCTTTACAGCCTTCTCTAAGCAGTTTACAGAGTCAGCATCTCTTGCCTTCAACAATCTGGGTCCTTGTTTTACCCACCTCGGAAGGACGGAAGGCTGAGTCAACCAGGAGCTGGTCAGGATTGAACTCTTGGCTGTGGGCAGAGTCAGCCTGCAATACGCACTGGGCCACCAGGAAAGAGAATGAGGAAGGAGGGAAGGAAGGAGGGAAGGAAGGAAGGAGGGAAGGAAGGAAGGAGGGAGTAGCAACAGCACTTAGACTTAAATACCGATTCACAATGCTTCACAGCCCGCTCTAAGTGGTTCACAGAGTCAGCTTCTTGCCCCCAACAATTTGGGTCCTCATTTTACCCACCTAAGAAGGATGGAAGGTTGAGTCAACCTTCAGCCTTGGTGAGATATTTGGAGAGCTGCCAGGCCGATATCTGCAAAACTTGGCAAGGAGTCTCGGAGAGTCACGAACCAATTAAGCGAACTAATTGTCTCCTGCAAACTCCCCTTTCGCTACTCTTTTATTTCCTCTGGGAGGGGCCATTCATCGTCCACCTGTGGCCTTACTCTCAATCCGACCCCTATTCTTTA